GCTGCAGTTGCACGGAGAGCCTGCAAGAGGAAAACCGAGGTGAAACTCCCGGGCTGCGCTGCGCAGCGCTGCCGCCCCAAGCGTGCTTGCTTTAAAATACGGAAATGATAAAGAAAAAAACAAAAAAAAGAGGGTCGGGAATAGCCTGGGCTTTGCAGCCCCGTAGCTCTTCGCCTCTCCCTCCAGAAGAGAGCTGGAAGGTTACGGGCACAACTCCATACGTCCTGCTGCGCTCCTCGTCGTCAGCTCCTGGGGTCGTGTAACTAGACAAATACCAACCTGTAATACCAAGATAAAAACAGCAACAGGTGGCAAAATTGCAAGGTGTTGAGCTTTTTTTTTTTTTTCCTAACCTTTCCAATCAAGCTTCCCAGTTATGAATTTCCAGGCCCCACACGCGTTATTTCCGATAACGCTTTAAAGAAGCGAACGTACAGAAGCAGAGCAATCTCTCCCCAGCAATTTGTGTCTGACGCGAGTTTAATCTCCATTTGCTTCCTTGCAAAACGTTTGGTGCCTCAATAATTGAACGTATTTTTCTGCCAAGGGCTGACTTATAAACAAGGGTTATTTTCAGAAATAGCACGTAAATCCTCAGGGGCTGTAGGCAACTGCTGTTATATAATATTCACAGGGAAAAGGCAGTACTCGGGGCACAACATGGACAGGGCAGGAAGACAGGCCCCCATCCCCAGAAAACCTGAACAAAGCTCCAGTCATTTCAAGAGGACCCAATGCTAATGCTCTACTTCAGCACCAGCATTTAACATTATTTAACATTTATATTGCGTGCTTGTGCCCCAATCCAACAATGCTTTTCTGTTCCAGAAATGATTTAAGCAGGTGCCTGGACGGAAGCACATTTAAAACCCAGTGGCTGAATAAAGATTAATTTATTAATATGTATAAGTAATCTGCTGAAATTGGACGTCACAGAATCATAGAAACACAGAATGGTTGAGGTTGGAAGGGACCTCTGGAGGTCATCTAGTCCCACCTCCCTGCTCACTGCAGCAGGGCAGAAAGTGGGAGAAAGGCAAATTATAGGGCATTAAATGAACATAACATAATTTAGATCAAAAAGGAATGAAAGAGTCCCCTTCTTCCCAAAAAGGGACTATGTAGATGCAGCAGGAACTCTCTAACCAACATATATCCAGAGAAGGACATCTTGCTATTAAACATCATTTGGTGCTTTTACTTTTTGTCTTTGTTTTTCTCTGACACAAATCAGAGCAGTGTGCATCAGTTGCACACTTGACCTCCATGGAAGTCAACTTATTTTGTTCTTACACACCTGTAAAATTTCAGCCTGAATCGGGCCTCAATTTTCTTCAATGTAAACCAGTAAACAGGAGAAATACCTAGAGATTTGTAATTATCCACTCTAGCATCCACTCCACATAGTAAACCAAATTCCCATCTCAATCATCCCCGCGGAACCCTACTGATCCGGCCACGTGGGCTTCTAGCAACGCACACTCGTTGCGGGAAAGCGGCATCTGCTTTTTAGTTTTTAAAACAAGCATCCGAACAAATTTACATTCATTCGGTGCAATTAGTCCCGTGAGTCTCAATTTAAGAAAAAGCATTATAGCGATGCTAACAGTGATCCTGAGTGCTCAGAGGCCAGGTCTGGCTGGCAGCAGCAATGTGCTGCTCAGTGCAGAGTAGACCTTCATGCTTTGCAAGCATAATGGCATCACTCATCGCCGGCTGCCTGTCTGCAAGCTCAGCCGGGAAGATGCAAACTCCTCGGGCTGGGAAGAGACGGGCGCGAGGGCTCAAATTCCCATTTGAAACACCACCATCCAGCTAACGTGTGTGACAGGTATGAAAGGGGACCACCCATATGGGTGAGCAAGCGGCTTGCACGGGTAGCGGAGCTCATCCGGTGAAGTGGCACTGCCAGACACCGGGCACGGCACCAGGGAAGTGGAAGAACCTCATCCGCCCCCGAAATCTGAAAGCCCTTCGGTGCCATACAGCCATGCTGCGGCAGGTGAGCTAACCTCGGTTTGAGGCCGTGCTTGCACTAGGGAGAAAGGGAGCCATGCCCCCAAATATACTGCACTGACGGCACGAGAAGAAAGGATTTGGGGCTAATCTCAAAAATAAAACACCGTACCTTCAGAGAAAACTAGCCGTGGCAAGGAAGAAAACAAAAAGTCATAAACAAGGGGCTGCATACACAGGCAAAGGCCTTGCATTTCTTTCATCCTTTATCGGAGAACCTAAATTGCCCGTCCAAAAGCTTCTGGCCGTGGCCAAACCAAGCTGCGATTCATGGGGGACATGGTCATCACTCGCAGGAGCCCAACATGCGTGGGTCCAGCCCAAACGGCGCATCGGAGAGAGGTAAAAGCCCAACAGCCCCGCTGGAAAAAGCGGCCGACTTTGGGTTGATCTCGGCAACGCCGCAGTCCTTCCCCGTGCTTTGCTGCTTGCAGGGCTTTCCCTGTTGAAATGCCATGAAGTCGGCTCAAAAAGCGGAGGCGGCGAGGGTTCGGACAGCCAAACGCAACGCTGAGCACACACGCACCCCGCGCTCTGCGTACCCGGCCGAGCAAGAAATACCGCAATAATCCAAAATAACCCAGGCAAAAGGAGCTTTTTGTTGCCAGGCTGGTAGAGCCGCAGCTCGGCAGCAAGGGCGGAGGCTATTTCTGTGCCTGTTCAACAGGCACGCTGCGCCGAGAGGCGGCAGGAGCTGTGGCGCAGCCTATTTCGGCTCCCGTTTGGGGGACCGAAGGAGGCC